TATTATAATAATAATGAAACACAAAGGTGGTAGTAGATTTGCCTGCCTCAGAATTTATTGAAAATATATATATAATATATATATAATATATATATGGGTGTGTGTGTATGTCATACTGCTAGATCCTGTCAAGAACTAGCACTTTTCTCGAATAACAGCGTGAAATTTTATTTCCACCAATCGGATTCCATTGTACAAACCTAACCTATAGACATATTATAAAACATGTAGGCCTATTACATAATAGGCCTCATACATAACATGTAGAGTGCGCCCTCACAAATTATCACGGAAATGTTTTGTTAACGAATACAATATACCGTACACTACCAATGCAATATTATGTAATATAATATGATGTGATTCAGTTTGATGTCATGTGATAATGTTGTGATGTGAGTAGCATATTTTAGTGTATAAATTTTAAATAGTCGGAATTTTTGAGAAATGTCGGCTCTGTAATGCCATTAGTACCAACGTTGAGCAAAATTATATTCAAATTTTCATTTGATTTTCAATAAAATCCGGTGGCTGTGATTGATAGATCCATACACACTTGGGATAGATTTTGTCGCGTATGAAATGTTTTTAACGCTGAACGTATCTTAGTAACGTGTGACCCACTTCAGCGGGGAAACAAATACAATATCAAAATACAGCAGGCATGATGAAATTGTTTTCACGCTCAAGGCATAAGATAGTCTTACTTTGAATAGTTCAGTACATTAATTCACATCACGTTCTAGTCTAGTCTAGTTTATCTCACAAGTTCACTGGGCTCTGCTATTGAGAATACTCCATTCAGTTCTGGTTGACGGTCATTTTGCTCCCAACGCGCTCACACTAGGCACTATAGCTTGGGTAGGCCTACCATAAAATCGCTACACGCTATCACCGACAGCTTTCGGTGAAGCTGATTGGTCGGTCGAATCGGCCTTCAGCCTTTTCGATTGCGTCAGGGACTGCTAAGCAGCGATTTTAAGCAATTTCTAGCCACCTCAAGCCAAAATGGACATTTCCGGAGTGTCAACCAAACTTAACAATTGACCAATCAGAACAGGGCCAGACAAACACGTGATGTCCCACAAACGCACGTGTTTACGTACATTTACACTTAGCAACAATATCCAAGGGGCGGGGCTTAGCGGAAGGTCCATTCAATACTACATACAAAGCTTGCGTTCTATATTTCTCGTATGAGTAAAAATTTTTTATTGATCTGTGAGAGGCCTGTTTCCTGAACGAATTCTTAATAATAATAATAATAATAATAATAATAATAATAATAATAATAATAATAATAATAATCCTTGCTTCTTGTGTTCACCTCGTCAGCTAATGTATTGTGATGCGCTTAATATCAGATAGTTTACCCGCGGCTTCATACCGGTATTAAATCTTGCCTACAATAATAACAAAATTGATTAATTCAGACAGAATAGCAGAATATTGGCTACAATTTACAGGGAATGCACGTTATCGTCTGTTCCTTTTGAACTCGTTGGATACTGCCATACATACACACATTGACAGCTCCAGTGTAGTTGAGCTTCTATGGGCCGATTCTTGTATTTAAAAAAAATGCTCACGGCGGTTGGGCTGAGGTGGGTGTGGGCGTTCTGAACGGGATCGTAGGCCTTTCGTCGGGCCCGGAAATAGCGTCAACACTGGATCTGCTGTTACCCGCTCATTCGATTATTGTTGCTATGTCCCACAGAACGACAGTCTAAACGTACGTAAACGTGGGTGTGACATGCGCCTGTATCTGTACTGATTGGTCAGTTGTGAAGTTTGAATGACACGTACTCCGGAAAGGTTCATTGCAACCGTTCAAAGAAGCTCCAAGGTTCAAGAAATTTTATCATTTTAAGTATTGATATCTTTATAAGCATAATACAGAGTCTCTATTGATTTTACAAATTTAAATAGTAAAATTTATTATTTAAATTTGCTTACATTGTATATGCCTATAAGAGAGCTATTAATTTTTGATTCAAACTTAGAACGACACAATCTTTATAATTATTCATATAGGCCTATTTATAATTTCCAAGTTGGATTGGATTGGATTTATTCGGTGTAAACACCAAGGATAGCCCACGAAAGTCTAGAATAAGACTTATTTCCTGTGGAGTCCTTCTAGTGGTGATTGGACACCGGGAGACAATCCCCTTTTCCGAAAAGTGTACTGCGTTCTTTAACGTGCACATGCACATGCCCAACGGCTTAAACATCTCATCCGAAAGACGGTGTATTTGTAACTTGTATTTCAGCCCTCTAGCTGAAACACAAGGAGAGGCAGCGATGGGAATTAAACCGGGGACCTCCACGGTTCAGCGCAGACACAGTGGCTACCACCAGATTAGCCGACTGAGCTAAGCTGCTCTCTGCATGAATACCAATATATATTTTCTTTTATACATTTTTTATTATATCGATCCTTGAACTTGTTGTCAGC